GAATTGGATGCAGGGATCTCAATAGTCGTAGAGTTGAAAGTCATATTTCAAATATTGCTTCATGTCGCTTCCTCTTTACTTGTCCTATTAAGAATTTAACAAGAGTGAAAACAGCATTGTATGGTAACAAGAATTTAACAAGAGTGAAAACAGCTTTGTTTGGTAACAAGAATTTAACAAGAGAGAAAACAGCAATGTATGGTAACAAGAATTTAACAAGAGAGAAAACAGCATTGTTTGGTAACAAGAATTTAACAAGAGAGAAAACAGCATCGTATGGTAACAAGAATTTAACAAGAGTGAAAACAACATTGTATGGTAACAAGAATTTAACAAGAGAGAAAACAGCATCGTATGGTAACAAGAATTTAACAAGAGAGAAAACAACATTGTATGGTAACAAGAATTTAACAAGAGTGAAAACAGCATTGTATGGTAACAAGAATTTAACAAGAGTGAAAACAGCATTGTATGGTAACAAGAATTTAACAAGAGTGAAAACAACATTGTATGGTAACAAGAATTTAACAAGAGTGAAAACAGCATTGTATGGTAACAAGAATTTAACAAGAGAGAAAACAGCATTGTTTGGTAACAAGAATTTAACAAGAGTGAAAACAGCATCGTATGGTAACAAGAATTTAACAAGAGTGAAAACAGCTTTGTTTGGTAACAAGAATTTAACAAGAGAGAAAACAGCAATGTATGGTAACAAGAATTTAACAAGAGTGAAAACAACATTGTATGGTAACAAGAATTTAACAAGAGTGAAAACAGCATTGTATGGTAACAAGAATTTAACAAGAGTGAAAACAGCATCGTATGGTAACAAGAATTTAACAAGAGAGAAAACAGCAATGTATGGTAACAAGAATTTAACAAGAGTGAAAACAACATCGTATGGTAACAAGAATTTAACAAGAGTGAAAACAGCTTTGTTTGGTAACAAGAATTTAACAAGAGAGAAAACAGCAATGTATGGTAACAAGAATTTAACAAGAGAGAAAACAGCATTGTATGGTAACAAGAATTTAACAAGAGTGAAAACAACATTGTATGGTAACAAGAATTTAACAAGAGTGAAAACAGCATTGTATGGTAACAAGAATTTAACAAGAGTGAAAACAGCATTGTATGGTAACAAGAATTTAACAAGAGAGAAAACAGCATTGTTTGGTAACAAGAATTTAACAAGAGTGAAAACAGCATCGTATGGTAACAAGAATTTAACAAGAGTGAAAACAGCTTTGTTTGGTAACAATAATTTAACAAGAGTGAAAACAGCATTGTATGGTAACAAGAATTTAACAAGAGTGAAGACAGCATCGTATGGTAACAAGAATTTAACAAGAGAGAAAACAGCATCGTATGGTAACAAGAATTTAACAAGAGTGAAAACAGCATTGTATGGTAACAAGAATTTAACAAGAGTGAAAACAGCATCGTATGGTAACAAGAATTTAACAAGAGAGAAAACAGCAATGTATGGTAACAAGAATTTAACAAGAGTGAAAACAGCATTGTTTGGTAACAAGAATTTAACAAGAGAGAAAACAGCATTGTTTGGTAACAAGAATGTAACAAGAGAGAAAACAGCATTGTATGGTAACAAGAATTTAACAAGAGAGAAAACAGCATTGTTTGGTAACAAGAATTTAACAAGAGAGAAAACAGCATCGTATGGTAACAAGAATTTAACAAGATAGAAAACAGCATTGTTTGGTAACAAGAATTTAACAAGAGAGAAAACAGCATCGTATGGTAACAAGAATTTAACGAAATGAAAACAGCATTGTATGGTAACAAAACAAGAGAGAAAACAGCATCGTATGGTAACAAGAATTTAACAAGAGAGAAAACAGCATCGTATGGTAACAAGAATTTAACGAAATGAAAACAGCATTGTATGGTAACAAGAATGTAACAAGAGAGAAAACAGCATTGTTTGGTAACAAGAATGTAACAAGAGAGAAAACAGCATTGTTTGGTAACAATAATGTAGAAAATAGTGGAAGGTTTGTATATTAAGTATAAATATATGTTACCCTAAAACGCATATCACTGTACAGCTGTAGTGTTCGTAACATGAGTGGTTTCCTTATTATATGATTTGTATTGCTTCTTGACCTTAACGTTTTGATGTCAACATTAAATGTAATTATGTAACAGGGAGCGGTATTTACATAAGCCAGTTAAGCCTGTTTACCAATCCCTTTCAAGTTAAGTTGAATACAGTATGTTTAAACTTAATGTTATACCTCACCTTGCGTTGGCATGTAACTATTCGGATACCAGTCTGTGATACTGCATTTTGTGCGTGGTGTTGTGTACATTTATTAATACAGGTAGGTTTCTGCCTTGTGTTGATTCATAACAATTCGCGAACTTTTCACTGACTCTGTATAACTCGTATATACTTCAGTCCTGTGTATGGGTATATAATTCACACCCACCTTGTTTGTCTGTAAACAGCACACGTTACTGCCTTCTGGCGGTATATAATGATTGCTCCGATACTAAGTTGTGAAGATGTATGACCGTTTCAGCCGTGATAGGCCTCAATGTTCGTGTGTATGTTACCCCCCTGGACGCGTGTCTAATATATATAATGTCAATGGTTACGTTTGCCTCATGACGTTGTAACTTATGTTCAACTTTAAAATAAAAAGGGATTCAAATTAGTTTAAGGCAGCATTGAACAGTTATTTCAGTTCTATAACAGCGTCAGCCTAAGTTATGCTGGTCTTTGACGGGAAACCGACGGGTATGGCGCGGACCATAATCAGAGCGAATCAGGGATTCGAACTCACGATCAGAGGATCCGGGAACGACTAAGGGACGCTAGTCTTAATTCAAATAAGCTTTCTTGGCATATCATTGTGAATTTGCAGTAGTCGGACAAAAAGTCCATGAACTTGCAGAACAAATAAAGCCAAATTACAAAGAATTTACTCGTTTCAAATTGCGAGGAATTATTGAAGTGAGGTGATGTAAAATGAGGTTTAACGGTCAAGATTATTGAACTTCATTAACATTAACCCCCGAGAATAACGGTTCTACCTCTGTTTGCCTACAATGCATTTAGCCTACAGTAAATCTGTTTTTAGTGCACTTTGCCGACACTATGAAAAATGCACTCTTACATTAATTGTGGACTAGTCAAAAGTATTTGGTATGTTAGTATTACTTTACACACTGTTGAAAATCCTGTGAGTTGCTTTGAAACATGTTGTTTCAAGATTTATACAAACACCATGTTTTCCAATAACAGACAAAAAGAGAGCAAATCAATTTTGTGAAAGATTGAAACAAACAACACATTTTCAAATGAAAGACATATAGATTAACTGACTTAACTGGCACTAGCTACACAACACCCGTAATAGATATATAGATATGGAAAATGTAAATCAAGGGTTGTGTAGTCTTATGATGGCTAACCCAGCGTGTGGAGTTCGCGGAGTCACAGCGTGCAGGGAGACATGTCTTACCTGATAGCTTCAGCTAGAGACTGAACAACAGACGGCTTACATGCATCCAATGGAAGTCCCGGCAAATGCATTATTGTCGGTGAATTTGTCAGGAACAAGTCTTCACATATTCATCCGCCAGAAGACCGCCTCCGTGGTCTAGTGGTAGATCGTCCGCCCGGAGAGCGGAAGGTCCGGGATTCGATCCCCGGCCACGTCATACCATAGACGTTAAAAGATGGTACTTGTTGTTACCCTGCCTTGCCCTCGGCATAAGGGGATAAAACAAGGACTGGTCGGTTCGGAGTCAGTATACTGTCTGAGTGGGGTATTCATATTAAACGGCGGCAAGATATATCAGTGGGCTTGCACTATAAAATCGGCATTAGTCAGGAATAGTACAAGCAGCCACACACGCGCACACACACACACACACACACACACACACACACACACACGTGCATGCCTGTCGACATGTAAGTGCAATAACCTTGGACGCGACGTCAAGCCCCATTTCACCTCTCCTCATCCCATAGGAAATTACAAAGAAAGATGACTAAGGATTACCCAGCGTCAGCGTGTGGAAACTGCTAAAACTGGACTAAATGAAAACTGTAAATTTAATATTGTGATCAGCGTCTGCCAACAGTATCATATATTTATCAGTGTCAGTGATAAGTAAGTATTGTAAGGTGTTTACAATGTTAAATACCTTTCACTGCTAAATTTGTATTTCATATTTTCATTGCAGCGATTTTACAAAATAATGTCAACTGCTTTTCATATTTCATTATCGAATATTTATTTAATATATACGCGTGTGTGTGTGTGTGTGTGTGTGTGTGTCTCAAATCTTGTCATTCTTATCAAATGTCAATTATAAGGATATAAATTGTGAGAAGTGTCAAATATATATTATTAAGTGTTGATATATATACAATAAACTACAAGTAAAAATTTATTCCTTGTTTATTGACAATGGGTGAGGTGAGGTGAAATTGGGTTTAACGTCGCGTCCAAGATTATTGCACTTATATAGCGACGTGCATGTACGTGTGTGTGTGTGTTTGTGTGGCTGCTTGTACTAGTCCGGACTGATGCCGATTTATAGTGCTAGCACACTGAGATACCATGCCGCAGTTTAATATGAATACCCCACTCAGACACAGTATACTGACTCCGAGCCGACCAGTCCTTGTTTTAGCCCCTTAATGCCGAGCGCCAGACAGGGTAACAACAAGTACCATCTTTTAACGTCTTTTGGTATGACGCGGCCGGGGATCGAACCTTATTGACAATGGAATTGCATGGATAAGTTCATTACAGTATAGGGACGAAGGTTTGCTATGGAGTGCCTGAACCTAAAGTTGTTTTTTTAATACTGTAGGCAAAGTGCACTGTAGGCAAAAGGAGGAGTTACCAGAATAACCAGTCTTGATTATCCGACGAAACAGATCCCAATGGCCGTAAAAGGCAAAACAGCTGTTACGACATATGACTGGGATTACTGACAGATAACGCAAGAGTACATTAACAGTATGGTTTTATTCTCTTTAAGAGGAATCGCAGCATGACAGGGCTATACACTACAACAGGGAACTAGGTACACAAACAGCTGTTTTCAACAGCATCAACGAAGACATGCTACAACAGCCTGTGAATGCAAATAAATTCAAAATAAAATACACAAAACAAAAAAGCAAGGATGCCCTCGATGTATGACCATAGTCCTAAAACCATAATTAATCCATAATTACAGTGACATATTCCAGTAATAACTTTGTATATTTATTAATACTTATCTTACCACTAGCGAAACCAAAATATATCTTTTAAAATAATGTTACTCCCAAGCTGACCGTCACAAACCAGCAAGTCTGGATTATGTAACTCCGAAACATACATGCACCATAAATAATCGTTATAATGTATTCAATGTAAAATTCCTGGAAAAGGATTGAATAGTTAAAGTCCAAATGGCTCTAATATTCCGATTTTTTAAGGAAAATGCTATTTTCGATAATATCACTTTTTGTATGGTGTGCTGTCCCGGTACGTTATGTAATTATTATAACGGAACCGTTTACCATCATAACGGTAAATACGTAACATTGTTCTAGGCCTGATATGTTAATACCGAGCTTTGAAGATATGTTTGAACTTGCGTAATCCTGGTTGACATTTTGTGGCTGAATATGTAGATGAATTAACATAACCTCTGTCAATTGGAACATAACATTGAGACGCACTATTTACAATACGGTGGAATACTGTTTTTAATTTTGTCAGTGATTCATACGGATACTGATATTAATAATTACAAGTAGATCAGGGGAGGGACGCGTGCTTCACCTTACTACTGATAATTTTCCTACGAGATTAAATGATGTCAAAGGCTTCAAATTCGCCTTTTCTGTAGCTGACGAACATTTTGCTGGTTCGACGTTAAGCATATTTATTTTCATATATTATTATTTTACATTCTAACATATAGCTTGTTCTTAATATGTACATGGAATACCGACGGACCACCATTGATGAATATGGTTAAGGATATTCATCTACTGTAATCAGACATTTATCGCATTGTAAGAATATCACAAACATGTTCAGCAAACGATCCCAGCTGTTAGGGCATAAGCCGGTGGTTGATATTATAAGCAAAACCCCAAGAAATCGGGGTACGATGAAACGCAATGCACAAAGTCACCTGGCTTCCCGATCTGGTTTGTGCCGACAGACAATCTTGTGAGCACAAAGTAATCTGATGAAGCCGCCCATAGTGTTTATCAGATAGTCATACTTTTCATACTGTCATAAATCAATCTATGCTTATATTTAAAAAAAAATGTAAATACCAAATGTGAAATTTTAAAAAAATACGATCATATATAAATATTAACAATTCGAGAAGATTCTATTTATTTTTATGAAAACTCATATCAATACTAGATAATACATGATGGATTGTTCACAGGAACGAATATTTCACGTGACAATAGCAATGTAGGTCTATTTCTGCAATTATTTAATTAATATGAGGTTGATGATGCCCACCTAAGACCGCTAATCGACTTTATTCTGTGATAGAAATGATTTTCTTTTCCTCTTTAACCGAGGACTCGCCACATATGACCTTGCAAACCGCTACACACTAATTGTCACTGACAGTATACCAATCATGAGATATTAGCATGCTATCAAACCTGATTTGAACAGAAAAAGTCGATACTAAATTGTAAACATTGTTATAGAAAGTAATTGAAATTATATACGCATCCTCCTATTGATAAAGGTATTCACACTATTTGATAGTGATTCATAAACACGTGCTTATGATAGAGTCGGAATCGTACATGACCTCTGATCTTAGTAAAGGTCTTATGATTACAGAAATTGTTCCCCCCTTCTATTTATTTATTTCAGAGGATTACATTAATAAACCTATTCAGTTGTCCAACCAAACAGACTGTATATTAATATTTATTTACTGAACGTATTTATCACAATTTGACCTCACCAATATTTGCCGACTTTGACAAAAGTTGAAAGAAATGTTGAAACTTATGCCCCACGTCATGCCATTTTATTTAGAACTGTAGCACCAGTAACATCATCGGAACCCTACTATACTGTCTTGGCAAGATTGTCAGCCAGCTACCGAAGCGACTGGTACATGCAAGAAGTACCGTTCAAGATGAAATCAGGAATTTGACAGGCTGCAGATGCAATACTATATCAGTGCCTTACACCAAGATTCAAAGAACGAAAAGCTTGCCCTCTTCCATCACCGTAAATATATACCCTTAGCGTAAGAACGGGCCCTATCAAGGATACCCGCCACCCTAAATTTACAGCCTTAGTATAGGAACGGGCCCTATCAAGGATATTTGTAGATCGCTGTTAAGGGAGATACTAGCACTTGTTGAAATATTTTAGCTGTGTTAAACAAGTAAAAACAACAAAATAAGAAACAAAACTCAATAATTGTTGAACAATGACAGGACAGGCAAAGTGCTTGGAATCCTAGCAGGAACCGTCACAGTGCGTGCAAAGTGCCCGGAATCCCACGAAGAACCGTCACAGTGGATCCAAAGTGCCCGGAATCAAAGGAGGAACCGTCACAGTGCATGCAAAATGCCCGGAATCCTAGGAAGAACCGTTCAGTGCGTGCAAAGTGCCCGGAATCCAAACAGGAACCGTCACAGTGCATGCAAAGTGCCCGGAATCCTAGGAGGAACCGTTCAGTGCGTGCAAAGTGCCTGGAATCCTAGGAGGAACCGTTACAGTGCATGCGATGTGCCCAGAATCCCACGAAGAACCGCCATAGTTCAAGCAAAGTGCCCGGAATCCTAGGAGGAATCGTCACAGTGCATGCAAAGTGCCCGGAATCATAGCAGGAATCGTCACAGTGCATGCAAAGTGCCCGGAATCCTAGCAGGAACTGTCACAGTGCATGCGATGTGCCCGGAATCCTAAGAGGAACCGTCACAGTGCATGTACAGTAAACAGTCACAGAGATAAAACTTAACAATCGTCTCCACAACGACATCCACGAAAGACAGGCCATCGCTAACCTTACACTTAATGACTGTGTGTTACAATGATAATCATGAAACTATAACAACAAAAGTCATCCCCAGTCAGTGATGGCAATTAGTTTGAGACCAGGTTTCCTGTCTAACAAATCATAACAGTCTATGGAAACAAGGTAACCGCCCCAGAGACGTGTAGTCAGTCATAATATAATTGCTTAAAGTCTGAACATGTACCAGGCACTTCTTCCTTCACACGGATACAGAACCAGAAGAAGGACATTCGCTTTTCGTCCTACACACGTGCGTTGATTGGAGAGTCTCGCTTGTGACACTTACATCATCTTCGCGAGTCAGGGTAATTTGAAAGAGGTTTCCTCCACCGTCAGCCTATTGATGTCTTAACCGTAGATAGATGCTGCTGTATGGTTTGACAATTTGATTTTTGAAGAATTCCAGCTGTGATGAATATGATTTGTCAAAACATTTCATTTATCTCTCTTTACATACATCACCTCTTTATTCCCAATCCGCATCTGGTTTTTATATAAGGTATAGCTTCCTGTACGTATAGGGATGTTGAAGGCGAATTGACCCAAAGACTCGTGGCTTTCTACGACTTGAAAAAACTTCAAGGAAACAAAGAATGAGCTTGTATAAGACTTCGTTTCGACAGCACCACCAATTATGAGGAGATACATTCATAGCACAATAGCACAATAAGGGTAAGCCGCTTCAATGCCGTTAATTATACATCTGCATTGGCGACATAAAGCACCGTCAAATAACGGAAGATACTTTGACATCGACGGCTATATATATGGTAAACAATAATCAAAGTAAACCTTCCAAACATATTTTCTTTTACGAAATCAAAAATCGATTTCGCCGATGACGATTGGTTTCTGGCCGCAGATACCTTTCCTAGAAGGCTCCGAAAGATCCAAAGGTTCTGATTTCAAGTCGACGGAAAACGACACCTCATGTCCATTTTGAAGTTTGGTTTCCACGTTTATTGTGTTATTGTTTGCTCTGTCTTCAGTATTCTGGAATTTGGTACACACAATACCTTTTTGTTGTTTAATACCGTTGTTGTCGGGCTTAACGCGGGTAATACCGTTCGGTTTCTGCCATATTTTAACGGAAGTATACCCAACACCATTGGAACGTGCCTCCGGCATTGGCTTGTCTTTCGTCACTCCGTTTAATTGTTTCTGAGCAACACAACCCTCATCATTCAATTTGGTATTGGACGTACGGTCAAGTGAATGGTCAATGCCTTGGGCAAAATGACTGACAGTTTGATCTTTGTTTGACAAGGGAGGCAATTTGGTATATCCGGTGGTGATAACAGAATTGCTGCTTTCAGTCATCGCAGTCTCGGAATCACAGACACGACTGCTGCAAAGACTCTGGACAGACGTATCGTCCGTAGCTGTGTTACTATTGTTTGTGGGTTCATGTTGGTTGTCCTCCGTATTTCCGTATGTGATCGTGCTGTCGCTTCCCTCGCTGGTCACGTGAATCTGCTGGCAGTAGTCTGGTAATGGAGACGGTTCATAATCACTTATGTCGCTAAACATTTCACCGGCATCGCATATTTCTATCTGCGAATGCGTCCCCGCTTGGCGTTCCTGCTTGATATGCGTGCACGGAATTGTATCATCTTCTGCACGCTCGACTTCTTCCATTTTTGTTCTCTTTACGTCATTATCAGCCTCGATCTCACTTTCAGCAGCAGACGGTTTCCGCTTGTTGTTGGGTTTGTCGTCGACAGTGTAGAAAAGGCGTAGTGGGCCTTTCTATGAAAGAAAAACATTTTATGATAATCTTGCAGGTCGAAGTATATTAACATAATTTTTTGTGTGCAAAAAGAAAAATATTCAATTCCATATCCTGACGTTGCTCCTTTTACCAAAATATTTCAAAATCCGATTTGCGCATGTCAGTTAACTGAGTGAGTGAGTGAGTGAGTGAGTGAGTGAGTGAGTGAGTGAGTGAGTGAGTGAGAGAGTGAGTGAGTGTGATGTATTTTGCAATATTCTAGCGCTATCACGGCGGGGGACACCAGAAATGGGCTTCACACATTGTAGCCATGTGGGGAATTGAACCCGGGTCTTCGGCGTGACGAGCGAGCGCTTGAATCCACTTGGCTTCCCCAAGCCCCTACTGCCAGTGTAATATAGTAATGTGACATTAATGCTTCCCATACACTGGGTCAATGCAATGAAAATGTGCGTTTGGAAATATAATTTCTGGATACGAAAACTTTAAAAAAAACTTGTCATATCCGTCAACCCCCTGACAGTACGAATTTTAAATGAAAATGGTGCTCTTGCGATAGACCAATCGGGTCACGGTGTTGGTATGTAACACCATAACGACTGTGAGTGAGTGAGTATGGTATAACGCCGATTTGAACAATATTTCAATTATATCACGGCGTGTCAGCTTGATGTGGGAGTGAGTTTGGCATAACGCCGATTTGAACAATATTTCAGTTATATCACGGCGTGTCAGCTTGATGTGGGAGTGAGTTTGGCATAACGCCGCTTTGAACAATATTTCAGTTATATCACGGCGTGTTAGCTTGATGTGGGAGTCAGTTTGGCATAATGCCGCTTTGAACAATATTTCAGTTATATCACGGCGTGTCAGCTTGATGTGGGAGTGAGTGAGTTTGGTATAACGCCGCTTAAGACAATATTTCAGTTAGATCACGGCGTGTCAGCTTGATGTGGGAGTGAGTGAGTTTGGTATAACGCCGCTTAAGACAATATTTCAGTTAGATCACGGCGTGTCAGCTTGATGTGGGAGTGAGTTTGGTATAACGCCGCTTTGAACAATATTTCAGTTATATCACGGCGTGTCAGCTTGATGTGGGAGTGAGTGAGTTTGGTATAACATCGCTTTGAACAATATTTCAGTTATATCACGGCGTGTCAGCTTGATGTGGCAGTGAGTTTGGTATAACGCCGCTTTGAACAATATTTCAGTTATATCACGGCGTGTCAGCTTGATGTGGGCGTGAGTGAGTTTGGCATAACGCCGCTTTGAACAATATTTCAGTTATATCACGGCGTGTCAGCTTGATGTGGGAGTGAGTTTGACTAAACGCCGCTTTGAACAATATTTCAGTTATATAACGGCGTGTCAGCTTGATGTGGGAGTGAGTGAGTTTGGTATAACGCCGCTTTGAACAATATTTCAGTTATATCACGGCGTGTCAGCTTGATGTGGGAGTTAGTGAGTTTGGTATAACGCCGCTTTGAACAATATTTCAGTTATATCACGGCGTGTCAGCTTGATGTGGGCGTGAGTGAGTTTGGCATAACGCCGCTTTGAACAATATTTCAGTTATATCACGGCGTGTCAGCTTGATGTGGGAGTGAGTTTGACTAAACGCCGCTTTGAACAATATTTCAGTTATATAACGGCGTGTCAGCTTGATGTGGGAGTGAGTGAGTTTGGTATAACGCCGCTTTGAACAATATTTCAGTTATATCACGGCGTGTCAGCTTGATGTGGGAGTTAGTGAGTTTGGTATAACGCCGCTTTGAACAATATTTCAGTTAGATCACGGCGTGTCAGCTTGATGTGGGCGTGAGTGAGTTTGGCATAACGCCGCTTTGAACAATATTTCAGTTATATCACGGCGTGTCAGCTTGATGTGGGAGTGAGTTTGACTAAACGCCGCTTTGAACAATATTTCAGTTATATCACGGCGTGTCAGCTTGATGTGGGAGTGAGTTTGGTATAACGCCGCTTTGAACAATATTTCAGTTATATCACGGCGGGTTAGCTTGATGTGGGATTGAGTTTGGTATAACGCCGCTTTGAACAATATTTCAGTTATATCACGGCGTGTCAGCTTGATGTGGGAGTGAGTTTGGCATAACGCCGCTTTGAAAACTATTTCAGTTAGATCACGGCGTGTCAGCTTGATGTGGGAGTGAGTGAGTTTGATATAACGCCGCTTTGAACAATATTTCAGTTATATCACGGCGTGTCAGCTTGATGAGGGAGTGAGTGAGTTTGGTATAACGCCACTTTGAACACTATTTCAGTTATATCACGGCGTGTCAGCTTGATGTGGGAGTGAGTTTGGCATAACGCAGCTTGGAACAGAATTTCAGTTATATCACGGTGTGTCAGTTTAATATGGGATTGAGGTTGACATAACGCCGCTGTCAAATCTTGAAACATAATGGTGGCGAACCGGGATTCGAACCCACAATCATAGGTTTCTGGTGTCGCGCCACCCGTGCCCCCTGTTTTCGATGATATTCAAGAGCATATTCTACATATCATTGATGTTTTACATAAAACACAAGACAATAATAATAATATGTATCTACTTAATACATTGATCTTTCATTCTCGTAGGCGTTACATTTAAACAGAGAATGAAATTCGTCCCTTGCAAAGATGCCCCGGTCTGTCCTTCCGGGATATACCATGTCACCTGCTAGAATCTACAGGTACAATATGATTTGAGGTTCTAAAATTAAGTAGGGGATATGCAATCACTTTTGGGAGAAGTAAATATTTTTCGAAAGGAGGCAACTTTTTAAAGGAAGAAATATTCGTTACTCTTAAAGCTTGACCGGAGAAACCTATTCCACGATGGGGAGAAGTGGTCTGTTAGTGTTATTTCTTTTAATCAACACGATAAACTACATTTCCAACCCCATTGTGCCAACCACTTTAGCAGGAACATATTAGATTGGCATTCGTCACCACTCGCCCCTTTCCGTAACCTGCAAGAGGACTCGTCCCCCTATCGATGAATGTTATGTGCGAAAATACGACAAACCAATCAGAATGCGCGCATGATTTCAAGTTCTTCGTCTAAGAATCCCTCAGAAATAATTTTTGATTTTACATACGTCTTGCATCTTAAAATACACCCAAGACACAGTTGGATGTGTTCAATCATACTGTATAATTCCGCATGTCCCGATGTGCTTCAAATTGCATCTGAAATATATATAATGTATAGGGAAATATATGTGAACCATTACGCAACGAGTTGACAATTGTTTTAGGTATGCCCGTTTGCGCTAAGACGGAACCCGGTCGTAAAAATAGTCATGAGCGGGGCACGAGTCGCTATTCGGCTTGTCCCGGAATAACACGAGTTGGTATCGAATGATTAGATTGGGTTATCTGCACATCTTTTTCGAGTAAAGACAGTACTCCAATTTTTTTTAAAAACATAGACTCCCATGGTATACACAGAGTCCATTGCGGACGTGCTGGGCGTCTAGGTATGAACCGGGCACTACTTTCTGACGATGTTGGAATCATGGAAATTAAGCTACTCTCTTGTCAGGAGGGGGGCACGGGTGGCCCAGTCGTCTAAGGCGCCGCGATTCGCTGTGCAGAGTTGCGTCCCTTGGGCACGCCAGAAACCTATGATTGTGGGTTCGAATCCCGGTTCGCCCCGATTATGTTTCTAGGTTTGTCAGCACCATACCCGTGCTCGTGGGTTTCACCGAAGTGGTAAACGTCTGAGACCTGCATCACTTCGGGCTTTCCTCCCACATTAAACTGACGCGCCGTGATATAACTGGAATACTGTTAAAAGCGACGTTAAACCCAACTCACTCACTCACTCTTGTCAGGAATAAAAAAGGGCTGAAATTCTAACTTTTTTTGTCTTAATACCGCTACTTAATAAATATTGGAATGCTCTGTTTTGAGATTGTTAATCTCCGGGTACCGCCAGTTTTCTTATTCTTAACTATATATTCGACCGATGGGGATGAGACTGACTCGCCCCGCCCCGCGTGTCTCACTGTTTCTTGACGGCTCCACACAAATGTTGCACACGACCATAGACTGAGTACTGACCCTTCTCCAGGAGTAGATGTAGGCGATATCTAACAAGGTGAATGTATCTGTGAGAGACTCGTCAGAGTGGAAGATGTCGAGCTGAAATAATAATAATAATAATGATGATAAAAATTATAATAATAATACAATAAACAAGATTCAGGAAAAGATTGGCAAATATGCAGACCTCGCTTTCGAAATATCACACTTGCATACCAAGTACCAAGTTGTCCGACTCCCCATTATTCTCGGTATTCCTTAGGTTTGGTACCTCCCAAATCTGTTGACTGACTTTGGGAGAGTACCCGGGTTTGCTACTAGGAATACAGCCCTTCTGTCAAACTGGGTAATGAAGAAGGCTGCAGTGTTGGGGAGTCTTCACATTCTCCGAAAAAGTTCTGAGTGGGTTTGACTACGCATGCGCAGCGCTTCCTGGGAGAAGACCCATTCGCTGTCTGGGCTGCGTGTAGAGGGGGCAAGGGCCCTGAGCTGATCCTAACCAGCCTGACTGTGTCAGGATCACCCAAACCCTCTGTGTTGCATTTTCTATTTTAATCTGTGCATAATAACAATAATTCTGATAATTTAAAATACATTTATATACCGCAGGTATCACGGTACTAGTATCTGCTCAAATGCGGTTTTATTTGTTCCCCGACCAGTGGATCCGTTTGCATTCCAGTAATCATTCTCAACTCCCTGGGGAGTATACAACCCAATCTGCCTAGGGGCGCTAGAAAGTTTTTACTTCCACCTCATGTGGGGGTCGGAGACTCACAAGTTCGGTGCAACCCATGAGGAGGTGAGGTGAAATGGGCTTTCAAGTCGCGTCCAAGATTATTACACTTATACAGCGACGTGCATGCACGTGTGTTTGTGTGTGTGGCTGCTTGTACTAGTCCGGACTGATGCCGTTTTGTAGTGCTACTGACTCCGAGCCGACCAGTCCTTGGTTTAGCCCCTCAATGCCGAGCGCCAGACAGGGTGACAACAACTACCATCTTTTAACGTCTTTTGGTATGACGCGGCCGGGGATCGAACCCCGGACCTTCCGCTCTCCGGGCGGACGCTCAACCACTAGACCACGGAGGCGGTCGCAACCCATGACGAAGGAGATGGTGCTGAAGCTGGGGTTCGAACCCAGGCCCACGGGATATAACCCGCACGTGCTGCCCCTCCCGTATACATTACTGGTCACAAACACCTGATCGCAGCTTGTTTCTAACCTTGTGATGCTCTGGGAGTGAGAACTTCATGCGGATGAATTTCTTAAGGTGTGCGATGGTCAGAGCGGAAGGACACAGCAAGAAACGGCGGTCGGCAGGCTACAAGTAGACGGTCAACAGATCACAACCCCTGCACAAACAATTCCACACAAATACAATGTTTATTTATTTCTTTATTTCTCTATTTCTATTGCTCCGTTTATTTACATCACATAATTATTGTTTGTTTGTTGTTTAAAGCCATACTCAGCAATATTCAAACCTTATGAGGGCGTCTGTAAATAATCGAGTCTGGACCAGACAATACAGTGATTGACATCAGGAGCATCGCTCCACGCAATTGGGATACGAGGACATGCATCAACCACGTCAGCGAGCCTGACCACCCCATCCCGTTAGTCGCCTCTTATGGCAAGCAGTCGCCTTTTACAGGAAGCATGGGTTGCTTAAGACCTATTGTACCCCGGATCTTCACGGGTGTGAAAAGTAACAAAACGTCAGAATGTTTTACACTTCGTCAGTTGCCACTGATTTTTTTGTAAAAAAAGTTATTTACATTTTTTGTCATTTTTTCTTTCATGTTAAATGTTTTCAACAAGATGCGGCGGTAAATACCTTGTTATCGAAGTGATAACTTTCTGACTCGTCAGGGGGCAGCCCACTAAAACAGATATACTTCTATTACAGATATCAAATATAAAACATTCAAGAATTATGCAGTAAACATCCGGGTTTTATAATCCCTTGTACCAGAGTGCCGATAGTACAGTAAAATAATTATGGCACCTGAAGGCCACATGCAGAAGTAACTGTTCAGCTAAAGTACTTTGTGATTATTGTCTTCCAGTTAGATCACGGCGTGTCAGCTACATGTTTGAGAAATGTCAATTAAGTACGAACCAGAACAAATTTCGACCTCATTCTGACCTCCTTTGTTACTGCATGTACTATTTAAATCGCAAATGCGTCGTGGTTGATAATCGGATCATGTTAATTCTCCCAGACTACCGAAGATGGATTTACGTACTTTTTGCTCATATCCAGACACAGGCTGATGTTTTCGTCCTCTCGGCACAACTCCTTCTCCATGACTGCCTCCCCCCGGGCCTCCAGACACACCACCCTCCGGCCTGCAGGAAAACACACTACACTGAAACTTCCCTAATCCAGACAACTCAATATAAAGTCAATAATGGATTTCTCTACCAACAAAACAGAATCATACAGTATAACATATAATGAACCAATAGTATATTCGATACATCGTACATAGCAATAGCAGTCCGGAATAGACAGGTTCTGGTCTGTCTAGAACACACACAGAACGACACAGTTTCTTTTATTTGTTTAACGCTGCACTCAGCAATATTCAAGCTATATGACGGCGGTCTGTAAATAATCGAGTCTGGACCAGACACGCCAGTGACTGACATCATGAGGATCGATCTACGCAAAAGGGATACAATGACATGCATCAACCAAGTCAACAAGCCTGACCACCCAATCCCGTTAGTCGCCTCTTACGACAAGCATGGTTTGCTAAAGACCTGTTCTAACCCGGATCTTCACGGGGTTCACGACACACGATCTGTCTGAAACACATGATTGTATATGGATATATTTTAAAAACTTCACATCTGCGATTGATTACCCAGGTCTATTACTTGTATATGAAAGTACACCACGGTTCCTGATAATTGTTTGAGCGGCATGGTATTTACTCACATGTAAACATTCACTTTCGGTATTGATTTGGACATTCAGTATGTTTGTACTTCCATGGATCCAGCCTGTTAGGTAGTTTTAAACCAGTGAACCTTTGTAAACATAATTCTGCTTAAAAAGCTGTTTCAGGTGACTTCTAATTTGCATCTGTCCATGTGATACCCGAGCGATACGTGTTTAAGTTACACAAAACGAGAATTGCTCTTGTTTTGGACGACCGCTAAAGATACGAAAGTATCTTTGTTACTTCAAAGTAATGTGAATTTAGAAAAATGCTGAAACGTTGAATTTATTATTTCCTATTTTTTTTTATTTGATGTAGAATTTCGTTTGTACAACTTGCAGCGCCCAAATTGACTGTCCGCTACACTTCTGTGTTCAAATTATAAGAGGCACCCCCTCCCCCTATTAAATGTAAACACACACATCACACCCAAAAGAAAAATTATATCTTCCAAGATAACATGTTAATATGGTTGTTAGAAAGTAAAAGTAACAATGGTTTACATATTGTGTTTGTGATTTGTTAAATATCTCTCCCCCACCCACCCACCGCCCCTCCCCTCCCCTAAAATCCTGGATCTAACGCATCACAGAATGCGTCGTGGATAAATTACAGAGTAGATATATTGCGGCTTTTGTTAATTACATGGTTAACGAATATTTATCCTCCAAAATCGTAATGACAGCTGTCAATGTAGTAATAAAATTAAAAGAATTTATTATTACGGAATTTCTAAAAAAAACTACTCAAAAGGGATAATCAGATATGAGTTTCTTTTTAAATATACGCCTGACATATAATGAGAGTACGTTTTGTGTATCATAAAAATCTCCCTATCAAAAGTGGAGTAGCATAGTTGTCTTGGTTGGGTGAAATGGAGAAAAATATAATTTTAACAAGCGTAGTTTCTTGCCTCATTTCATATTAATCTACGTTCTGCATTACGGAAATTAATTATGAGGAGCCCCGTTGTGAAGGAAGTAAAATAACTGTTCTGAACATTTTTTGGTTCATTCCAAATCGTAACATGTGGGTAAATTATCAAAATTGGGCTCTAATGTAATTGCTATTTAAGATATATATGTCTGCACCCTCTCCCCTAAGCAAACGAATATATCACCCGTGACACACATTAATACGTTCTGCTTGAACAACGCACACTTTCGCAAGCACGCACGCACAAGCACACACACGTAATAGGTACGGCGTGCTACGCTATCAGCTCATTTTGGGCCTCCGGTCCTGGTATACGATTCTTTATTTTTCACAATCTGTATTTTTTAACAATTGTTTTAAATAATCTTTGCTAGTAATGCCATAAACAAAGCCCCACATTACAAACTTCTTCAGCCAGTGGAAAGTTAATGGACGAACAACGGACGAACAACGGACGGACAACGGACAAGCATCATGCTGGAAGCTCTAATAAACCTTATGACCTGGGATCCGTTCTAAGAAGCGATTGTAGATGATCGTAAATCCCTTCACAGTCGTAGAGCTACGATCGCTTTGGGGAACGGGTTCTTGGGAGGAAAAAATAAATTTGCCTTGAACGTGGTTAAACAATGCTCTTAACGGTAATTGGACTATATCACAGCGTATCAGATTTATGCGTGAGTGAGTGAGTTGGGTTTAACGCCGCTTTGGGCAATAGTCCAGTTATATCACGGCTTGTCAGCTTGACGTGGGAGTGAGTGAGTTTGGTTTAACGCCGCTTTGAACAATATTTCAGTTATATCACGGCGTGTCGGCTTGATGTGGGAGTGAGTGAGTTGGGTTTAACGCCACTTTGAACAATATTTCAGTTAGATCACGGCGTGTCACCTTGATGTGGGAGGAAAGCCCTCAGTGATGCAGGTCTCAGGAGTATACCACTTTGGTGAAACCCACGAGCACGGGTATGGTGCTGACAAACCTACAAACATAATCGGGGCGAACCGGGATTCGAACCCACAACAATGGGTTTCCCGCGAGGCCAAGGGACGCAACTCTGTACAGGGAATTGCTGCGCATTAGACGACTGGGCCACCCCTGCTCTCTTCAGCATTAACCTTTATGCGAGAGGAAAGCTGAAGAGATAACGGTCACACCAGTTGGTTAACTCCACCAGAACGGTACGTAGTTGATAAAACATCATGATAATGTTTGTTTGTTTGTTTGTTTGTTGTTTAACACCACACTCATCAATATTCCAGCTATATTACGGCGGTCTGAAAAATAATCGAGTCTGGACCAGACAATCAAGTGATTGACATCATGAGCATCGATCCGTGCAATTGGGATACGATGACGGCGTCAAACAAGTCAGCGAGCCTGACCCCTCGATCCCGTTTTGAAAAAGGAGGGAATCTGGGATTCAAACACACAAGCGGATCCTGGTAGAAAAGGGAGGCAACTGTGCAAAGCGTGATGAGTGACGATGATGAAGAGAATGTATTAAGTACATACCTTCAGGGTGGGTGGAATAGAACAGCCTGCGTCTCCGCATTTCATCTAAAAGATAAACCAATTTTCAGATTACACAATATTTACCAATATCACATATCCAATTGCTGTGTGTGGGCGCGCCTTATCAAACGTATTCGCTCACCACGTGGGATCTCCCGCGCAAACTAGATTTTTTATAGCCAGAACTGTTATCTTTTCAACGGTCAATATATGAAGCAGTTCACGCCTACATGCATGTCGCTTAATTCTGAGTTTGACGATCACTTGAGAAAAAACAAGTTGTCTGTTTGTTTGGGTTTGTTTTGTTTTTTGACGCCAAAATCTGAAATATTCCAGCTATATGGGGGCGGTTTGTAAATAATCGAGTCTGGATCAGACCAAAAAACAGTGATTGATATCATGAGCATCGATCCACGCAATTGGGATACGATGGCATGCATCAATCAAGTCAGCGAGCCTGATCACCCGATCCTGTTAGTCGCATCTTGCGACAAGCATAGTCACCTGTTACGGCAAGCATGGGTTACTGAAGACCTATTTTAACCGGATCCTCTGGGGTCGAAACAGGTTGTCTGGCGCCCACGCCACCAATCTCCCGAACTTCAATCCCGGATGACACCATTGTTACCTCATGACACTCATGACACTCCCTTGCGCGCATGCTTCTTCGATATATACTTCATTCCCTAAAGAAATTGTTGTAAGAAAAGTATGTATGCATTTGTTATAGGAAATAAGTGAGGTAAGGCTTGACGTCGCGCGCAAACTTCTTGCACTCACATGGCGACTTGCACGCACGTGTGTGGGTGTGCAGGATTGTACTAGTCCAGAATGCCGGTTTAATCCTGCTGGTCCGCTGAGATTCCATGCGGCAGTTTAACATGGATACCCAAATCAGACACAGTATACTGACCCCGAGCCGACCAGTCCTTGTTTCCGCCCCTTAATTCCGACCGCGGGTCGGGAAACAATTTAACATCCTTTGGTATGACGCGGCAGGGGATCTTACCACCGACCTTCTCTCCGGGCAGACGCTCTGTCCACAAAACCACGGAGGCGGTCTCAGATGGGAAATAAATTTTGATATGATCTTGAATATGCTCAAAGAAATAACGAATATTTTCTGAAACACCTTTGGGTTTTTTAATATTTAATTGATTTTAAATTGATCGTCAATCCAAATATATATTCACAACGCGCCAAATAATTCACCAAATTAATGCTCATTGCACTATTATGGTATTAAGCCCAACAAAAGAGAAGTTTGAGTCCAAATTCCACTATGAGCTTCAGAGGAAATACAGAACCCAAACTGCTGACAAACCAGAAACATAATCACGACTAATTTGGGGATTCGAACCCCGTAGCACAGAGGATTGAGGCGACACAGACGATTCGGCTACCCGTGCAAGCACACCAAAGGGACTCGAACACACAACAGCACAGCTAGACCCTAGTTTGGGGCCGAACTTACCTTCGAATAAGCCCGGCACCAGCTTGTACACAAGGTTCTGGAGAGTTTTGTCCGCTCTGGAATAAAACCGGGATATAAGTTACTGAACAGCCGAGCCACAAATGAAGTGGGAAGTCGTTTTTCACCACAGTCCTTTATATTCCAGGGCTGTCACGGCGACTGGTGAGATATCGTACAGGACCAGTTAAACTAGAGGTTGACAGCATGAGCACCTGTCCACACACTCACGGAGCCTGACGACCTGATTGGTTCTCTTCACAAGCACCAGCGCCCCGTTCATCAAAGCGATCGTAGCGCTACTTTAATTAAGGTGATCGCAACTCCCGTACATTAACATGGACTTAAGACAGTCGAGCGCAACGATCGCCTTGTGGAACCCCGTTTCACAAAGACTTTGTTGTACTACGATTGTCTTAAGTCTAAGTTAAAAATTTGGACCTAACACTAACGCCGCTTTGTGACTGGGTGGAAGCATTGCCTCAAGTAAAAGATTACAGTTAGTCTGTAATACAGCCAATGCAAGTTATAATATTTGGCAAGTCTAGATTACTGCAGTATCTGAAACTGGGCCCCCTTTGATTATATTTCAAAACTATAATTTAACAACTGTTTATATCTATAAAATATGTTCATTTAGGGACTAGATGTTAAGTCTAGCTTACAATATGCAGGCCTAGATAGCGGATAGTGCAAGGACCCCTGTCTTTTTTAGGGACAACATTTTATATTTATGTATATAAATAATATGTAATCGAGGAATTATGATTGAAATTAAGAATCTGTTTCTTAGAGACTTGTGCAAGTCTAATTGGAAGGTCATTGTCAGCGTCGTGAATTTCGAGTAGGACGCAACCCAAAGTTTGAAGGCGAATGGGTCGAGAGTATAGATTTGCGAAATAATACCCTGGGTTATAGAGTAGCTAGCTACCTGATGTTGAGAAGGGGCCGCGTCTTGTGCACCTGGACATCACAGATGGGGCAGAACTTGCTGGACTCAAGGTACCGCACAATGCACGTCCGGCAGACTGCAACGAGGAACAACACCGTCAGAATGCACGAGGATAATTATAAATTGCCGGGCAACAGAAAGAATACACTTGAAAATTCGATTTGACCCCAAAATAACAAACGTTATTGAAACGTTACTAGACTGAAAACAGTCGCCGAAACACTTCAAACGCATGGTCCAAAACACAACTATGATATTCGTATGAAATACATCACCATGGAATAACCACATCTTGTTAGTTTCGTCTCAGCCACCATCAGACATGGGTGTATAGTTCTTTAGCCTGGTAATTACATTGAAATTAAAGGAAATATTACTTTGCGCTGAGCCACACGGGCTCGCCAGCGAATCGCCAGCGTCTAAGGGCCTTGGATTTTCTATGAATGAGTGAGTGAGTGAGTTGGGTTTAACGCCGCTTTTAACAGTATTCCAGTTATATCGCGGCGTGTCAGCTTAATGTGGGAGGAAAGCCCAAAGTGATGCAGGTCTCAGACGTTTACCACTTCGGTGAAACCCACGAGCACGGGTATGGTGCTGACAAACCTAGAAACATAATCGGGGCGAACCGGGATTCGAACCCACAATCATAGGTTTCTGGCTTGCCCAAGGGACGCAACTCTGCACAGCGAATCGCGGCGCCTTAGACGACTGGGCCACCCGTGCTCCCCGGATTTTCTATGAAAACAATATTGGAAAATACTGAAAAAATTGCGACAGGTTTTGCGAAAAAGGATATCCTGTCGCTGACATCAATATGAACTCCAAGAACAAACTCATACACGTCTAATCGCAGTCTCCAACTTTACACAATTTTCACTCAGTGGCCGATCAATGTATTCTCTGCATCTTTTCATGTTACGATGCAGATACAGTTATTAAAATATCATATGGAGATGTCCCATAAACATACATGAGTTTGGGATAAATGAAAATATAATATATAAATAGATATCAAGCTTTCGATTCATATTTCCTGCCGATGCTAAATAGTACATATTTGTATGCAGGACTGTACAAGTTCATAGTCGTCAACCTCTTCGGGTGGGATTTTTGTGACAGAATATTTATTTTACAAGCGATACAAAACTATTTCTCTGAAAGGAGCACAAACAATTTGGTGAAGTGAGGTGAAATTGGGTTTAACGTCGCGTCCAAGATTATTGCACTTATATAGCGACGTGCATGCACGTGTATGTGTGTGTGTGGCTGCTTGTACTAGTCCGGACTGATGCCGATTTATAGTGCTAGCTCACTGAGATACCATGCCGCAGTTTAACATGAATACCCCACTCATACACAGTATACTGACTCCGAGCCGACCAGTCCTTGTTATAGCCCCTTAATGCCGAGCGCCAGACAGGGTAACAACAAGTACCATCTTTTAACGTCTTTTTGTATGACGCGGCCCGGGATCGAACCCTGGACCTTCCGCTCTCCGGGCGGACGCTCTACCACAAGACCACGGAGGCGGTCACAAACAATTTGGGGGTGTACCACAACACCGTCTCCATCCGTTGTCCCTGCATCAGGACCTTCTGAATCGGGAGCTAGTTCAGTGGGAATCTTTTCTTTCCCTATGTTTAACGAGATTTTAAGCAATATTTCATCAACATCACGGCGGGTGACACCAACGTGGATAAAGTGCTCGCTTGTCAGGAGACCGGGTTCGATTCCCTGCATGGGTACAATGTGGTGTCCCCCGCTGGAATTTTGTTTAAAGCGGTGTAAAACAATACTCACTCACTCACTCAATTAATGGTCGTGCTCTGAATATGTTTCATTTCCACTCGTTCAACAACACCCTCAAGCAACCGTTAATCCATAAGACATATGTACTTTAACACCAAAACAAATATCAAACATTTCCTTGATGTGAAATAAAGTGTTTATAAAACACGATTATTTTTTTAAAACATAACTGATAAGAACACACACAAAAAACTCTCTCGACGGATAAAAACAGCTATTTATCAAGTCCAAGCTACCGGGGTCACGTGATCCTCGTATCAGCGTCGACTACAGATCTGAAACTATTTTATTCAAGATTTCAAATTTTGACACAGATAATGTAAATCTTGGTTCAAAGGTCATTGTGTAGGAGGAGACGGCAAGCGCACTCATGAGTCTTTCTGCCCCGTGTAACTATCTATTGCGATGACGGGACATTTTATGACAGAGCAAATATTTACCGTACCCCGGGCAGATATAGCTGGTTACTTCACCCACCACGACCCCAGTACTCCTGCTATCGGTGCAGATGCGGGATAAAAAATAAGATTATTCGTACAAGGAAACTGAAGGCCGGCGATAAAAAACATAAGGGTCTGAAAAGTAGCACTTTATCTCGTTGAGTGTATCATTTGTTTAAAAGTGAATAAAACTTGAAAAAAGTATAAAATTATGTGAACCCCCGTCAGTAATATTCCAGCAAGTGGGGGGCACGGGTGGCCCAGTCGTCTAAGGCGCCGCGATTCGCTGTGCAGAGTTGCGTCCCTTGGGCACGCCAGAAACCTATGATTGTGGGTTCGAATCCCGGTTCGCCCCGATTATGTTTGTAGGTTTGTCAGCACCATACCCGTGCTCGTGGGTTTCACCGAAGTGGTAAACGTCTGCGACCTGCATCACTTCGGGCTTTCCTCCCACATTAAGCTGACACGCCGTGATATAACTGGAATACTGTTAAAAGCGGCGTAAAACCCAACTCACTCACTCACTCCAGCAAGTGACTTTGTTCAAAATGTGTCTCTGTTCACTCAGCAGTGAATGGGTACCCGGTAGGTTGGTTGGTTTGTTGTTAAACGCCGCACTTAGCAATATTCCAGCCATATGACGGCGGTCTGTAAATAATCATGTCTGGACCAGACAATCAAGTGATGAGATGGTGAGTGAGTGAGTGAGTATGGTTTTACGCCGCTTTTAGCAATAATCCCGCAATATCACGGCGGAGGACACCAGAAATGGGCTTCACACATTGTACCCATGTCGGGAATCGAACCCGGGTCTTCTGCGTGACGAGCGAACGCTTTAACCACTAGGCTACCCGACTGCCCCAAGGGATGAGATGGTAATGTGACTGTTAATCTGTTATCGCCTCTCAGCAGTTTGGTCTGTATACTTCCAAGGAAGCTGAGAAAGAAAACCAATAATAATGTAGATTGGAATTGGGGGCATTATAAATTCTGATTAGTTACTATGTAACAGCCAAATATTTCCCGCAACAACCCCCAACCCATAAATTGATTTTTTGCATAATTCAAAATTAAAAAACAACTTCACGCTACAGTGGCCCACTGTATAACACTGCAAGACAGGATATTAACAAAGCGAAATGCTGATCTGAAATTTTCCTCCCTAAAACTAAAATAATTCCTTCGAAAACAACTTTTAAAACTGTAGAAACCTCGCCCAAAAAATTCAAACTAGAATACTTGAAACATCAAAGACTGAAAAAACAGCGCTGTCGTGCTTTTTAAAAGGCGTCATTCACGTTTTGCAAGATTTTCTTATGTTTGTCAGGCTAAATTCCTTACGCACAAACACAGGCACGCACTTCATTCACAAACTGATCACGTGACTGTCATGTGAGAGGGTGGTTTTGCCATCCATCACTGTCGACAATGTAACCGATATCCGCACGCGGTCATCGAGTACCTTGCCAATAGCAGTGAGGGCCAAGAGGGGTGGGCGAAACTTACACGTTTCTCTTGCATACATTACACAATTAGTCGCGCCGTCTAGCAAACATATCATGTGACGTGTTTAAATGTCAAACCAGCAAAATATAACGGAATCGTCTGGAGCTTGGCAACGTTCGTGACGCATTTAAATTTTAAAATTTAAGTGAACAGTTTAAAATGGGTTAAGGTGTTCGTGTGCGCTTTATGAATTTCGGACTTTAAACGTAACATATGAACTTAAAATCGTTCCATATTTATTAGTTACTAACAGCTGGGATTGTACATTGTACCCTTGCTATATAAATACATGGAAAAAAATATAAACCTCTATAATTGAGCTGCATATATTTTTTCAATATTCGAAATACTTTTAAAAAAAAAAATGAATGAATTAAATGATGAATGTTAAAACACATTCTTTGATTAATATTAAAAATCAAAATATATTTCTAAACAACGTTCACAACTTAACTACTCAGAACTAGTTAAGAACTAACCACAAATAATTCTAAAAAACGTAAGGAAATTCAGACAAGAAAATACACGTCACCTAACACTGTAAATAATAGCGAAAACCATGTTGATGACTATGACGAAAACATAGCCATACTAATAATAAGAACAATAATAACGACATAATCTGTACTGAGAATATTCCAGTTAAATCACGCCGTGTCAGCTTAATGTGGGAGGAAAGCCCAAAGTGATGCAGGTCTCAGACGTTTACAACTTTGGTGAAACCACGAGTATAGGTACGGTGCTGACAAACCTAGAAACATAATCACATAAACCTTGGATTCGAACCAACTATCATAAATTTCTGGCACGCCTTTTGTACTCGCTGTAGAAAGTTCTACATAAGTACGTACGTAGAAATGTAACGGTATTGCTTACAATCTCCAACAACCGCCCGGGCCTTCTCCACCACTGCCTCATTTCGTAACGCTCGTATTTTTCACCGTGTTTTCAAGAAACACGACATTCTTGGGTTTATCGTGTTTTTAATCACTGTTTAGCATGGTAGTCCAATTGCCCCCGCGCCACTTGTCCTTAGCAACAGGATATTAATTAATCCGTTAACTTCCTTGTCGTGCATGCTATATTTGCAGACCCTCTCTTATTAAGTCTGCAATGTAACAGAAACCTAAAGAAAAAAATTAGATTGGTTCACGCGGATTTCAAATGTGAACAGCGCTTTACAAGAATCGTTCATAAACAAAGAATTTATATCAAATATTATATACTTGTTTGTCTGTTCGTTCGTTCGCCTTCAGCATTATTCCCGCTATAAGACGGCGGTTTGTAAATGATGAAGACGACAATCCATTGATTGACATCA